CTCCCAGTCCTCCTGCTCTGCGCTCCCAGTCCTCCTGCTCTGCGCTCGCACCTCCCGGGAATTTTTACCTAAAATGGAACTTCTTATTAAACGTAAATTTTTTTGGAGCGTCGTCATCTTGCAGACATGAGTAATCTGCGCACGTGACGTGACCCAACTCCAGGTCAGAGAAAGACATCAGTCATGTACACACTATACTGTGTACTTTTACTACAGTCATGTACACACTATACTGTGTACTTTTACTAAGGTTGTATACTTAGTTGGCTTCTCTTTACATGAAAACCTTTGAGAAGTGACCTGTCTGCAGTTGTAATGTAACAAAATAGAAATACTTTGTTACTGTACTTAAGTAGAATTTTGACATATTTTTACTTCATTATTTACATTTTTATCGACTTTCACTTTTACTTCAATACATTTCCCTTCACCGTCTTAGTTGCTAGTTACTAGGGTTTAAAATGAGAAGAAATCTGATTGTTTGTTCTCCCAGTCTGTGACTTCATGCGGCCCCTTCTCTCTCTCAAACCCAGCCCCCCCTGAAACCTGCAGCTCCTGCTGTGATCAAGCTACATGTACATGCACAAGCTACATGTACATGCACATATCAGTCGTTACATCAGGTCTTTGTTGACTCAGTGGAGCCACTGTAAACTCCTGATAGGTGTGAAAATGATGACGGCAGCTGCTAAAAAGGAGAAGTTCTGTGTTCTCCAGGACATGAACTGCTTCAAGAGCAAAGGAACCATTAGTTCCTGTGTTATTATATTATCCTATAATAGATCCTGTATTATTAATTAGTCAGAAAGAAACAAGCCATAAACAAACAGACGCTAGCTCAGTAAACAAGCCAACTACACGACAATGTGGGCTTTCTAACAACTTTGTTAATAAAGGTTAACAAAGGTTAACAAAGGTTAATAAAGTTTGAATGAATATATTTTGTTAGAATCAGACTTTTTAAAGAACAATCTTTTATTGTTCTCTTCAAACTCTCCAAGTTTTTGTCACTGGATATTGCACCCAATAAATGTTGTTTTGGAAATCCTAACCATTTACTTTTACTTAATACTCTTACTTTAAGTACATTTTAGAAGAGAAATTTACTTTTGATAATTAAGTACATTAAATGTCTGATACTTTAAGACTTTTACTTGAGTAATAATTTTAAAGGACTTTACTTTAACTTTTACCAAAGTAATTTTATGGTAAGATACTTGTACTTTCACTGAAGTATCACTTTGAGGTACTTTATACAACACTGCCTGTGCAAGAAAAAGCTCTCGAATGTGTCGGGGTGTCAGGGTGGGGGTGTCAGGGTGGGGGTGTAACCTCTGGGTGTAGAAGTCATTTCAGTTAGAAGGCCCGTTAAAGTCGTGCGCTGCAGAGCCACAGATGCTTTCAGGAGTGGTGAAACAGGAAGTAGCCGTGGTGAAACAGGAAGTAGCCGTGTTTCTTCCTCTGTCCTCAGAGATCATCACCTTCATGAAGCTCAACCTGGTTCCTTACCTGGAGAACAAACTGAAGTCTCAGCACAGGTGGATGGAGCGACGGGTGCAGTACGGGGAGGACAGGTACGAAATAACGGACATCTTCCATGCTGATGAGATGGACAACGGCTTACCTCCAACCAATCAGATTACAGGTGGACAGGCCCCGCCCACTTCTCTATGAATGGCCATCAGTGATGTAATCTTTTATTATGGACAGCAACAGGAAAATGGACACTCTTGAAAATGTGTTCAGATTTTTTATTTTGAAAATAAAAATATTTTGCCGTTTGCTTCCATATTTTCATGGATCAACTGTATTGATCACAAAGTTCTGTGTTTTCTTTGCAACAATGAAATTAGTTCTTTGTATTTAACCCATCTCACCTGAGACACACCCAGGTGGAGCAGCGGGCAGCTACGTAGGCATCCGGTCAGCAGTTAAGGATTGGTTGTCTTGATAAAGAACACCACGACATGTGGGCATGGTGGGGAGTTGAACCTGCAACTTTCTGGTCCCAAGCTTGCTTCCCTGCCTCTACACCCAGCCAGTCATCGTGATGTGTTGAATTTATTTGAGCCACTTCAGGAACTCAGACGATCTGACAGTAAATCAGTCAACCGTTATATTGATCACAGATTCATTTATTACACGACTAATTCAAGTTTACAGCAGACTAGACAGTTTATTGCACGCAGCAGCAGAGGATTGTGGGTATTGTAGTTCATTTGAGAGCCTGCAGGCTGGTTGTCCTCCTCATGATGTTGGGGATGAACAGGAGTCCCGACGCTCGCTCGATGGTTTCTATGGGAACTAGGAAACGCTCCAGAGGAACTTTGTCATCGATTGCTTCGTTGGGTAAAATGTATGAGCGAAGCTCCACCCCCCTGCCATCCGCCTGCTCCAGGATCAGCACCTGAGGAGACAGGTGCACTCAGAATGCAGGGAGGCGTTGTGATGACATCATCAGACAAGTGAGACTTACCTTGAAGAAGTGTGTAGGCACAGCAACGTGGTTTTTTCCCAACACCTGATACCTCACGTACAGTTTTCCATCACCTTCTTGCCTAAAATACAAACACCTGGAGATGTTACCTTTTGGCCCTGCCCCCAAGCACTAAACTACTGAAGAAGAATGGTTACCTGGGCAGGTAGAGCGGGCCAGTGCACACGTACACATTGAGGTAGCGTTTGGTCAGAGAGCGGCAGAGCTTCTCCAGGTTGTTCCAGGTGTTCTGGTTCAGGTTAGGGTTCTGCAAAGTCAGACACCAGGTGTCAGCAAGGGTAACGGCTCCCACATACTCGGGCGTACCGTGTGTACTCTGTGAGCCGTGCAGACTCTGCACACGCTGTCTGTAGACGGTTGAGACTTCGTACTCGAGCGTACACCCTGATGGGCTGCAGCCCAGCCCTGCAGGTAAGGGGCGTTTACCTTCAGGACAAATTGAGGTCACTGATTGGTCATTTGCTGACACGCCTACTGGATTGATTGACAGGTTGCAAAAAAAAAAGCTGCCAGTGGCCCTGGGTAGAAGTAGCTTGCAGCCCAGGAGCATGTTTATATATTGTTAATAAAAAGTTCTAATAAATAAATAAATACTTGGGAGCGCTGGCCCTGCAGCCCACACACCAGACCAAACCACCAGGAAATCTCCAGACCCTCCTGCAGCCACGCCGGGCCTGATTTTAATTCTCTCATGACAAATTCCTTCATTTCTCACCATTTCAGTCATGTGTGGGGTGTTACCTGAGGAGCCACGTTGCTCAGGTAGAACGTGTCCTCCATGGCTTTCTGACTCCACTTGTGATTGGCTGCTGCAGCCAGGTGACCTCTGTCGAAGCCACTCCCCCTGTAATCTGTGTTCGTTGCTCTGTGGAAAACGTGCACGCTGCAGATGAAACAGAAGGCCAGTTTAACTTCACTTGTTCTCTTCACACACCTGTTCAAGGTGTTTGTCTCACCTGTCGTCCTCTTTGAATTCACAGTACTTTCTGTCTGACGGACCTGTGAGGGAGGCTGGGTTAAGCTTCTCTATTACCCAAGATGCAGTGCGTGTGCGGGGGTCGTACGACGTGACGTAGGACTCTCTAGTCTTGATGTTGGCGAGTGAGGGAAAGCCATACTTCATCACTGCTCCCGAGGTACTTGGACTCACCTGGACAACAAGGGGCCCAGTTACATCCAACGAAAATATAAGATGTAGAATAAAAACAGTAATAAGATATGAACTAAGGAAAATGTACTAATAACATAAAAACAATACGCAGACAGCAGTCAGGTGAAAACAGGTGTGAACTCCGTGTCCATCAGTGATCTGATTGATTGATTGATTGATTGATTGATTTTTATTGTCAATTCTGCATATGTACAGGACATACATAGAAATTGCGTTACACTCCTACTCAATTTGCAGCAAACAACAACATTAGCAAAAATAAACTAACACAACTAGTTATATAAAAAAGTATAAAAAAATATAAAAGTGAACAGCAGCAGGACCTCTGATGCAACGTGCTCAATAGTGACTAACAGGAGACAAAGGGACGCTGACTGAAGACAATAACATGATGAGAGGTAGATAATGGATGTGCAAGGCCAGAGTAAACAATAGTGCAATATAAAGTATAAACCTGAGAAACTTAGTAAAGTGAAGGTGTGCATACCGGTTCTATATAGTCACAGTTATGTACTGATGAGGTGATTAAGTGGAAATGACAATACCAGAATTACCAGAATAAAGAATAAACAGGACGAGTTGATCATAACAGTAGTGCAAAATATAATGCAATAAACAGTAGAGTGAGCTTGTAGGCTGTTAAAGTGACCGATTCATGAACTATTCATAAAACTAAATAAATGTCCCAGAGCAGTTTTGAAGGGGGGGGGTGAGGGGGGGGGG